TTGTATATGAAAAGCACTTTTGCAATGAATACTTATTGCTTAATAAGTAAATAAAAATGAGGAATAGATCTGTAGATAATAGTTTTAGATTCTTAACAGACACTTTGAGCCTCAGTTTTTCCATTTTGGTTTACCTTTGAGTCATATATCTGCCAACTCATAAAAATAAGCATTGAGCTCCCAGTGGAACATGATAATTAACAGAAATTCAATTTCTTTCCTAGTTATTCCTTAGTTAATAACACTAATTTTCAGAGATTTTTTGGATAGATATCACCAAAACACTCCTACATTCTTCCAGATCCAGGGATAGTGTTAGATATGAAGCAGAGGCAAATTAACTTTCTTCACATTATAATGTCTTGGTTTAATCACTTAGGGAATTTAAAATGGATAGACCTAACGTTTGTACTTTTCCCAGTAGATAATATGTCAAACTTTATGCTATCCATATTTTGTTTATGACATACAGAAGAAACACAACAGCTAAAGTTTTCTTCTGATTAGGTAGTAATTATTTCTATAAGCAGACATTTGATCTACTCTGGTGATTTCCTACTGTATGCCACTCTGTAGTTTTTATACATCACTGAGTTTGGTTTGGGTCACAAATTATATTAGAAGTGTAACTTTGTTAAATTAAACTACCTCTTAAAAAGAGTTTTGGGGCCAGGGAGATGGCTCAGTGGAATAAGCACTTCCCTGGCAAGTGCAAGGGCCTGAGTTCAATCCCCGGTTCCACAAAAAAAAAAAAAAAAAAAAAAAAAAAAAAAGTTTTGTGGTATTTGCACTAGAGAATTAAGTGTTGATCAAACCAGAAAAGCAAGTAATCACATAGAAGTTTTTTGCAAAATATATTAATTTTTCCCCAATCCTACCATCAAGGGTTTTATTTATTTGTTTTTTTTTTTTTTTTTTTTTTTTTTAATTTTAGGACAGAGTCTACAGGATCTTACTACCTAGACTGAACTTGTAGTGATCCTCCTGTTTTCAGCCTTCCAAGCACTGGGATGACAGACATGCCTCACCAAGCCCAGTCTCTATTGCCTTCTTGGCCACCCACCCCCAGGTAGGGAGTGGTGCAGCATGGCATGTAGGGGACTGTGCTCTGCCTAAGCAGGCATTTTAGTCCGCTGAGCTATTGGCCTAGCTCTCTTGCCATAAAGTTTTTTGTTTTTATTTTTATTGAGAAACAAATAGCAATGAGAAAGTTTCAAAACCGATTAATAGAATAGTTTCAATAATTAATCAATTGCATGTTGTTGTCTTCATAGTGGTTATTCATAATACAAGATGCAGGTGTTATATCCTTCCAAATGCTATTAGTACAAAATCTTCTTCTCATTGAATTAAGAGAAAGTAGCTGTATATATATATCTTAACTATTCTGCATATACAGATACAAAATCGTACTTCATTTGTATCCATTTTTTTCTCTAGTTTTGTCACAGATGGGTATTCCACTGTCATTTAAATATTATTTCAGCAAAATAATCCAATATAGTCCATAATGTTAGTGGGTTATCTCTAGGACTAGCAATGTCAGAAGTTATTGACTTGAGCCCTTTACAGCTCAGTAATATGGCTTTACTTTTTATACCTCATTATTATTTTTTTCTGCTGGATGGTTGAGACCAAGATAAAGCAAGACCTATATAACAAAAAGTATGACTTTTGTATCTGACAAGGTCAATCAAATCCCCTCAAAATTTAGCCTGAAACCCTGTACCGCACTTTGTAAATCATTTGTCAGTGTCAGACATGTGAATGAGTAATGGCCATTGCTTGACCAATTTGCTCTCTGTGAAAGTCTGAGAGAATGTTTTCTCACTATGTGATTCTCCTTAGGCAGAGTCTACAGTGTTGACCACTTTCCTCTGGTTCCATAATCTCCTTGATCAGAAAATTTCAGACATCTCTGAGTTGCAGGACATTACAGTACAGGTTCTCTTGTCATAAAGTTTTAATATAAACTCCATTTACCTTTAAGTTACACATTGATGAGCTGCAAATTTTATTTTAAGAAATTTAACATAATTTATAATGTTATTATATTTTACTGAAATAGAAACAAAATCCTCTAATATGTTATAAATTCAACTTAAATTTATATTAATGGTGGCTAATTATAGTGAACTTTGTTTTACACATTTAGTCTCTTCTCATTCTGTTGTGAGATAACTCTGAACATCACAGTGCCTTTATGATTTATCAGTACAAACTTCAGTGCATGAAGCTGTAACAAAATTGGATTTTTATGAAACTTAATTATCTATCATTACACATTCTTTTCATGGAGTAAAATTCTTTCCTCAGATGTGGAAATGCAATGTTATGGGTTGTGTCTCATTGTTCTCGCCAAAGCCTCCTGCAGTCAGTGGAGCAGGATTCTAGAGTTTGTGATTAATTCATAATCCAATATTGGTAATACAGGTGTAAATACTACACCCACCCTGGGGTTGATAGCTTGAATACAATATGGGGAAAGGAAAGAGTCTTGCTAACTGCCCTAGCTATTGTTCTTGCATTTGCCCTTTGCTGTGTTTCACTATCAAATGTTTCCTTCTGCCATATTCCACTCTTCACTGGATTCATCCAAATATGAAACCTCCATGAACTATGAGCTGAATGATAGGTTCTAGCGCTAGTATAAATTTCTTAATTATCATACTGGTCACCTAATATGGCTGAAGCCCTTAAAATAACAGCTTATCCTCCCAATGCCCACTTCCTCCTTCCCCAACCCATCCTTGATACAATTTCCTCTCACCTTCCTTGTCCATACAGGACAGATCCAAGTCAGCCCCTCAGGTGTCACTAAATTTGCCCCTCATGTTCTACACCTAGCAAAAGTGCATGCAAGTCTCATTTACCTGTGTCTCATGTCAGGGAATCCCCAGTCATTCCTTGGAACTTCTCTGTGACTTTAGAGTTAATAAAAGCCTTTTTTTATCTTTCATATCTCTTTGCTGTGAAGCTGAAGAAACTAAAAATAAATAAACCTTTCCTTCCTTAATTTAGTATGTGGTGTAATTTGTCCCAGTAAGGAAAGAAAAGTAACTGAGACACAATGTTTATAATGGAAAATTTGATCCTTTAATCAACACAACACAGTATACTAATGTCTTGGTATTTGCTAACAATTAAAATGTATATTTTGTAAAGATTTTAGAGTGCAATTTTGTGATTTAATATTCTGCTTTTTAAATATGTCATTTTATAGTTTATAACACATATAGGCCATGTGATTCTATAAGCTTTCTGTCACTCTGACAAAAGATCCAAGAAGAGTTAATCAGAAGAAAAGTTATGGCGGCTAACTGTCAGAGGATTGCACTCTGCTCAGCCGGCTCTTCTATTTCTAGCCTCAGGTGAAGCAGTAATATTATGATTAAAAGGTGTGGCAGAGGAAAATTGCTACATTCTCAGCAGCCAGGAGGCAGAGAGGGGGAAGGGCCTGCAGCCTGGATCTCTCCTGCTTCTGCTCCTTTTCATTTGTGTCCCAGCTCACATTCAGAGCAGGTCTCTCTGCAGTTTTCTGATCTGCATGCCTGTCCGCTCTGAAATATCCTCACAATACACCCAGACACAACCTACTAATATGCTTAATGAATCTCTTAGGCCTCTATTAATCAAAACAGGATTAATCATTGCAGTGGTTTCTTCTCATCTAAAATGTGATTTCTCAGATTGTTTTATCTCTATTTAACATTCCAATTACTTAGTAGGCTAAGTTTATAAAATAAATATAAATTTTTTAAATAACATTTTAAATACATTAATACAGGAAAGAAAACAATCCAAAAACCTTATTTTTACTTTAAAATAATTTTAATGATGAAAATTGTTTTGACTATGATTTCATTTCCTAAATCTCACTGCTTCTACAGTTCAGTCAAACACAGAGAAACTCATTGACATGCAACAGTTGACACTTAAAATAATTTATTTGAATATCACATAGTTTAGAGATAAGGTATAGAAATGAAATTACCAGTATAAACATTTGAAAATAAGAGGTTGGCACTTAGTAAATTAATGCTTGCATAACTATACATCTGAGGTACTCAAGTAAAAACAGAATGAACAAGCACAATAGGTGGAATGCTCTATACTGGTTAATTACATAATCAATCCATTTTTTTCTCAATACCAGTAATAAGTATCTGAAAATTGAGACAAAGATATTCTATTACAAGCAAAAACAATCAAAAACAAATTCAAAATAAAATGATAAATCTACACAAAAATTTCACAATATCTCATTAAAGCAACTGAAGCAAACTCTGAAGCAAAGAAATGATACACAATGTTCTACATAGATAGGACATTTAATCTCTTTATACTATTTGTTTCCTCATGATCAACATAAATATTTCATATGTTCTATAAGAATCCTAGGGTGGGACCAACTCCGTGTCCCAGCTCAGGCACAGCGTGGGCCAGACCCACTTCCACCCCTTTGGGACGCCCCCCACCACTCCACAGCACCTCCCCCACCCCACCTGATGAGTAGAAATTTCTGCCACGTTCTGGGAACACCCAGACCCAGTCCTAGCCCAGGTCCAGTGAGTGTGTGGGACAGCTGCCTCTACCCCCTACTCCACCTTGTCCCCTCCAGGCTCAGCTCAGGCCTGGCATACAGGCCTGGGGTGTAACCCTGCAGCTGCAATCCTTACAGAGAGGGTAGAGGATAGAACCACCCAGCTAGTCCGGGAGCAGAGCATCTTGCCACAGGGGCACAACAGGTTCATCCTCAAGGGCAGCAGCAGGAAGGAACTGAGCACAGCAGCCAGACTGAAACCAGGCACAGCTGGATAAATCCAGACTTTGTAGATCTGGACCTGGACTTCAGTACGTACTAAGTTTATAACTACAATGAAGATCTACAACAAAAGTCAGAAGACAGTGCTACACAAAATGACAAGAAGGAATAAAATGCGAGGGGAAGGAGCTTAGGTGGCAGCGGATGGGCTAGTGGTTGAGCGAGAGGCGGCGGAATGGTGGACCACCACGCGGCGAAACAGTCGGACCAGTACTGCCCCAGCAGCGCAGGCAATGGCGCTGGCGGCTGGGGTGGCATGGGCAACTACATGGCCCAAGAGGACGACTGGGACCGGGACCTGCTGTTGGACCCGGCCTGGGAGAAGCAGCAGCGCAAGACCTTCACAGCCTGGTGAAATTCTCACCTGCGCAAGGCAGGCACACAGATAGAGAACATCGACTAAGACTTTAGAGACGGGCTCAAGCTCATGCTTCTCCTGGAGGTCATTTCAGGGGAGCGGTTACCTAAGCCCAAGCGGGGGAAATGAGAGTGCACACAATGTGAACAAAGCTCTGGACTTTATCGCCAACAAAGGAGTCAAGCTGGTTTCCATTGGGGCGGAAGAGATAGTGGATGGCATTGCAAAGATGACCCTGGGAGTGATCTGGACCATTATCCTGAGGTTTGCCATCCAGGACATCTCTGTGGAAGAAATTTCTGAGAAGGAAGGGCTGCTTCTCTGGTGCCAGAGAAAGACTGCCCCATATAAGAATGTCAACATGCAGAATTTCCACATCAGGTGGAAGGATGGTCTTGCTTTCAATGCTCTCATCCACCGACACAGACCAGAGCTGATTGAGTATGACAAGCTGAGAAAGGATGAGCCTGTCACCAATCTGAACAATGCCTTTGAAGTGGCTGAGAAATACCTTCACATCCCCAAGATGTTGGATGCAGAAGACATCGTGAACACAGCCCGGCCCGACGAGAAGGCCATAATGACCTATGTGTCCAGCTTCTACCATGCCTTTTTGGGAGCACAGAAGGTTGAGACTGCCGCCAACAGGATCTGCAAGGTGCTGGCTGTCAACCAGGAGGATGAACACCTGATGGAAGATTATGAGCGGCTAGCCAGTGATCTCCTAGAGTGGATGCGGCACGCCATCCACTCGTGCCCCAAAGAACCACCCAGGAGATGCAGCAGAAGCTGGAAGACTTCCGTGACTACTGGCATGTCCACAAGCCACTGAGGCCACAAGAGAAGTGTCAGCTGGAGATCAACTTCAACACACTACAGAACAAACTGCGCCTCAGCAATCTGCCAGGCTTCATGCCCTCTGAGGGAAGGATGGTTCGGACAGCAACAATGGCTGGCAGCACCTGGAGCAGGCTGAGAAGGGCTATGAAGAGTGGCTGCTGAATGAAATCCCCAGGCTGGAGTGGTTTGACAGAAGTTCAAACTTCTGTGGCAGAGAAGTTCCAGTAGAAGGCTTCCAGCCATAAGGCCTGGGCCGATGGAAAGGAAGCCATGCTCAAGCACCTGGACTATGAAACAGCTACCCTGTCAGACATCAAGGCTCTTATCTGCAAACATGAGGCCTTTGAGAGTGACCTGGCTGCACACTAGGACCGTGTAGAGCAGATTGCAGCAATTGCCCAGGAGCTTAATGAGCTGGATTACTATGACTCTCACAATGTAAACACCCGGTGCCAGAAGATCTGTGACCAGTGGGATACCATGGGCAATCTGACCAACAGTCACAGGGAAGCCCTGGATAAAACAGAGAAGCAGCTGGAGACCATTGGCCAGCTGCACCTGGAGAATGCCAAGTAGGCTGCCCCTTTGAACAACTGGATGGAGAGTGCCATGGAGGACCTGCAGGACGTGTTCATTGTACACACCATCGAGGAGATTGAGGGCCTGATCTCAGCACATGACCAGTTCAAGTCAACCCTGCCAAATGCTGACAGGGAGCATGAGGCTATCCTGGCCATACACAAAGAGGCACAGAGGATAGCTGAGAGCAACCACATCAAGCTGTCAGGCATCAAACACTATACCACTGTTACCCCCCAGATCATCAACTCCAAGTGGGAAATGGTGCAGCAGTTGGTACCAAAGCAGGACCATGCCCTCATTGGGGAGCAGATCAAGCAGCAGTCCAACGAGCACCTCCGCCGCCAGTTCGTCAGCCAGGCCAACATGGTGGGGCTCTGGATCCAGACCAAGATAGAGGAGATCAGGTGCATCTCCACCGAGATGAATGGGACCCTGGAGGACCAGCTGAACCACTTGAAGCAGTACAAACGCAGCATTGTGGACTACAAGCCCAACCTGGACCTGCTGGAGCAGCAGCACCAGCTCATACAGGAGGCCCTCATCTTTGACAACAACCACACCAACTATACCATGGAGCACATTCACGTGGGCTGGGAGCAGCTGTTCACCACCACTGCTCTCACCATCAATGAAATTGAGAACCAGATCCTCACCCAAGACACCAAGGGCATCAGCCTGGAGTAGATGCAAGAGTTCTGGGTGTCCTTCAACCATTTTGACAAGGATCGTGGCGGGGCCCTGGGGCCTGAGGAGTTCAAGGCCTGCCTCATCAGCCTGGGCTACGACAAGGAGAATGACCGGTAGAAGCAGACAGGCAGCATGGACTTCGATGACTTCAGAGCTCTGCTTATCACCACAGATACAGCCTGGGTGATGCTGAGTTCAACTGCATCATGAATGTGGTTAATCACAAACACAGTGGCCTCCTGACCTTCCAAGCCTTCATCGACTTCATGTCGAGGGAGACCACTGACACGGACACAGCTGACCAAGTTATTGCCTCCTTCAAGGTGCTGGCAGGGGACAAGAACTTCATCACAGCTGAGGAGCTATGGAGAGAGCTGCCCCCCTACCAGGCAGAGTACTGCATTGCCCGCATGGCGCCCTATCAGGGGTCTGAGGCTGTGCCTGGTGCCCTGGACTACAAGTCCTTCTCCACAGCCCTCTATGGAGAGAGTGACCGGTGAAGCCCTAGCCACCGGACCACACCCTCCTCGAGGCCTCCTGGAGGGGTCAGCTCTCCCCTCCCCTGACTCTGTATCTATGCAAAGCACTCTGTCCGGCCTTTGGGGGTGGGTGAGTGGGCAGGAAGGGGCTGGGGAAGGCTCTCTCCTCTCTCGTTGGTTGGCCAGGAGGTCCCTCCATCTGGTAGGGGAAAGAAGAGTTTTGGGGTCAGTGTCCTTCGTCTGGTAAATATATATGATGTATTACTGTGTTTATCTTTTTAAACCTATATGGAGGAGACAGCAGATGCCCCATAGGAAAGCAGGTCCCCTCTGTGCCCTGGGATGCCCCTCCACTGCCACCACTTCCAGCCCCTGGGTCCATCCTTTTGCCCTTGAGGTCTGTTCCAGGCTTCCCACATCCAGGCCAAAGCCCCATTTGCCTTGTCCAGGGTCCAGCAGAGGGCGCTACAGCTACCCACTGGACCAACCCAGCACCTTGAGCCTTGGACCCAGGCTGCAACGGCCTTGCTTTGGCTGGACTTGCTATCTCTAGATTTTCTAAGGACCAAAACAAAATAACAAAAATACAAAAACAAAAACAAAAAACAAGAAAAACAAAAAAGCCACAAAAAAATTTCAAAAACAACAAAAATTAAAAACTTTCAGAACATTACTATTTACTTTATTAACTTACGGATTTATTATATAAATATATATTCACCTAGCAACATATCTCTGCCATGTTTCTTGCTCTCCTAATGAAGACATAGCTGATGCGCTGCCCTCTCACCCCCCTACTGGTTGTCCTCAGCTGCATCAGCAGGGACTCTGGGGACCGCCCCAGATGGAGGTGGGCTGCTGGCCTGGCTGCATGGTAGTTGATGGTTTTGCCTCCCCACCCTTTTCTGAATTTATTCTGATTGATTTTTTTCTTGGTTTCTGGATAAACCATCCTCCTGGGGACAGGATAGTAAAACATGTAATATTTTTAAGAAAAAAAAAAGAAACAAAATGCAGCCTCAGAAGCTAACACCAACCATAAAAAGTGCAGAGGACACTAACACAGAACATATTGGGAATCATGCAGCTAGAAGTAACGAATCAAAGGCTTCTGAAATAAAGAAACAGCTGCAGAAAGGTATAGAGGAACTCAGATTGGAAATAAAAAAAGAAATCCCTGAAAAATAACATCTGCAGTAAAGAATCAAATTCAGACACATATGGAGGAAAACCAGTGCCCAAACAGAACAAGTGTGGAGGACACTACCTCGGCTCAAATGCATGAATTAATAGCGTCAATAGTAAATAAGCAACAGCAGAAAGATATAGAGGAAATCAGAGCACAACTCTTTTCTGAAATAAAAAAAGAATTCTCAGAAATAGCATCAGAATTAAAGAAGCAACTAAAGAAACATAGAGAGGAAAACCAATCTGAAAAAAAAAAAAAAAACACTTCAGTAAATGAATTTATAACTGCTTCTAAAGACGATATTGATAAAAAAATAGAGGAGATTAGAAAAATGATGGATTCCTTGAATGAGCAATTCAGGAAAGAAATAGATTGCAGAGGCAGAGTCAAAGAGATATAGAGGAAATTAAAACCTCAGTCACAAGCTTGCAAAACCGTTTAAGTGAATGTGAACAGAGATTCAGATCTTGAAGATGCTGGTGCAGCTAGTGAAAAGGTAAGAAAGGATCTTTTAAAAACAATGAGGATGCAGGAAAGAATAATCCATCACCTGCAAGGTGATGTAAAGATGAACAATGTGAGACTAATAGGCATCAATGAGAAAGAAGGAGTCAACACAAA